ATATGTCCTTTGATCATCTTGTTCATGATATCAAGAATAATTTTTTTAAATCTCATAATACTTTTAAGTTTAAATTTTAAAATAATATATTTTATTTTTAAAAAATAATTACATATTCTATAAGGCAAAGCATGATTACATATTCTTCAAGCTCATCATGACTTTTCAATAACTAGATTTTTTAAATATAAGAAGACTTTGCAATTAATATCAAGAGATTTTTGGTGGCCTCAAATACAAAATACACTCAAAGACTTTGTATAATTATGTGATATTTATTTAAGATTAAAATTCCCTTCTCATCAATCTTATGGACTTCTTCAACCATTATCTATTCTAAAACTACTTTAGTCTTTTATTTCTATAGATTTTATCATGGATCTTCTAGTCTCAAGTTTGTATGATTCTATATTTGTGATAGCAGATTGTTTTACCAAGATGGTACATTTCATATCATGTACAAAATCTATCACAAGTAAAAAGATAGCTAAGCTTTTTTTGACAATATCTATTGCTATCATAGATTGTCCAAAGGTATTATATTAAATAGGAGGACTCAATTTGTATCAAGATTTTGGAGAATCCTTTTTAATATTCTAAAGATTGATATAAAGTTTTCTTCAAATTTTCATCTTTAAATTAATGGGCAAATAAAATGGATGAATTAAGTTTTGAAGCAATATTTGAAATATATCATCAATTACCATCAAGATGATTGAAAAACTCTTTTGTCATTAGTAAAGTTTACATATAATAATTTGGTATATTTTTCTACTCAATAAACATTTTTTTTTGCCAATTATGGTTATCATCCATAACTTGATACTTTTGACTTTTCAAAAGTTGATAATCCTATAACAAAAGATTTGACAAATAATTTGTCAAAGCTATATACAATAATGAAGGTATAGTTAAAAGAAGCTCAAAAACAATTAAAGATCAATGTAGATGCCTATTACAAAGAACAACCATAATTTAGTATAAATGATGAAGTATAGTTATTTTATCACTAACTAGAAGCTATGTGGCAATATTTTATAGTCAACTCATATTAGAGGTTCTATAAAATATTATCACATAGCTTCTAGTTAGAGAGTATATATGAAAGCAAGAATGAAGCCTTCTTCAATCTTGTCAATGACTTTTTAGTCTTTAGTCTTATTTCAAGACTTTCTAATCTTCTTGTCTTTGGCAATAGACATTTTAATTTAATACTATATCATCTTTGAGTGATTTTCTAATTCTTTTGAATGACAAAAGAATCTATTGAGGATTTTTATTTTTAAGATTTATGTCTTTGATAATATTTTATTAATATAAATTTTAAAATAATCTATCTAATATATTTTTTTAATATCAAATATATATATATATATATATATATATATACACACACATCCACTTAAGTCTAAATTGTTATGTTTGTTATTTAATATAAACTCTATTTTTATGATATATCATATGTCCAATCTTAAAAAGTCTTTACACTTAAAAGAGAATTTTAAAAGTCACAACTTTCAAAGCTTATAATTGGTTAAAATTGAAAAGCCTTACTTGGTTGACTTTTTACTTAGAAAAAAATCAACTAAGAAAATATTAAAGAACAAATCAAGGTAAAATTTTTTTTTCTTATATAATACGAATAGTATTTATTTTTATTAAAAAATTAGTTACGTGTCAACATTAATGAAATAATTTTTATAAAAATTTTAAAGTTATAACATAAATTTTTAATTATATATATATATATATATTTATAAATTTAAAATTATCAAAATTAATAAAATCAAAATATGAATTCATATTTTCAAAATTATAATAAAATAAAACCATTTGAATCATTTCATGGTCTCATCTAATTTGATACAATTTCCAAGATGAAGACTTTAGAAAAATAATTTGTTCTTGAAAAATGAGAACCTTTGTAACATCTTTGCATAGGAGTTTTTAGAGTGGACTTCTAAATTTAAATATTCTTTAGGGCATCGCTACTTGCTAGCACTAATAAGAGGTGGCCTGTAGATAGATGTTGTAGATTCATGGCACATTGGCCAAAGTAGTCTCAAGGTAGTTTGCAACCACAAGGTAGAATGGTTAATATAAAACTTATTGGATATATCATATTTGCCCTTAAATGACTCTTCTAAGACCCCACTCTAAGTTCCCTTCCTTCTAAGAAGCCACATGTTCTTTTCTTCTTTTCAAGAAACCATTGTGGAGTAGGGTGGTCAGTACAAGCCATGCCAAGTATCACATGCTTATCCCACATTGTTTCTTCCGAGATCCTACTCCAAGCATCGACCACTATAAGATAGAGCAATTTCTACAATAGATTGCCAAATAAATGTTCTATTTTGTTAAGGTCAACATCATTGAGGTCAATGAACAAGCCATGGTGGAACTCATTTTAAGGTTGAGGCAACCAACATAACAATTGGTGCCAATAGTGGCAATGTGCTTCCAATACAACAAGGGTTTTGAAGAAGAAGAATATGTATGTTGAAACTTACAAAAGTAAGCATCCATATGTTCATGCATAGTATGGATAAGTAAAAGGAATAGATGATAAAAAGTTGGAAGATAGATGATACAGTGACATATCAAATAGTCAAGAATCGTGAAACAATGCGGAGCTACCATGAAGCACCGGCGATGGTGTAGTTGATTCAGGGTTACGGGGAGGGAGGCTGGGCCCAGCAACCCTACGACGACAACGACGCCGACGCCGCCCATGCTCCGCTGGCTCCACCACATTGACGCCCCAGCTCTCTTTTTCCATCGGATGGAAGGCGGCGAGCGAGCGATGCACAACGAGTGACTGACTGACCAACTGAATGGGGCCCATGAAGGTAGCGTCTCAGGTCCCACCCACGTCCCTCCTCCGACGGAAAAGTTCGACATGACGAGCGGATGTGCACGACCATTTCCGCAGCAGCAGCAGCCCTTAGAGCGTCCAAAAAGAGCCCCGGCATGCCCCCTTGTGGCGCAGTCTGCCACCCTTCATAATTATTGCTACGGACTTTGATGGAACGCAGTTACCTCTGCCTCGGTCGCGCCGCTTAGCACACCTCATCCCCCCATGGCGCCATGGCGCCGCATGACCAAGCCATGTCCCTATTTGGGTCGATGCGATGGAGGCAACGAACAGCTGGTGGAATCATCCATCGTTCTTCCTGGTCAAATGCAGCGCGGAGAGGAGCACGAGAGAGCTGCAATGGCTTCAAACCTGGCCCTACACATGCCTCCATCTGGTTTTAGAGTTTATCCGAAACTAAGCCAAATCTGTGTGTGTGTGTGTGTCTTGTCGAAGACGTGGGTAATATGGGATGGATATTTAGGGCTAAATATAAATATGTACGAGTTATGGATCAGGAGTGGAAGTGTATTCTCGTCGTTACAGATACAAATTTGTAGTATTTGATTTTAGTTGAACTCAACTCTTTTTAACTATATCATCTACTGTTTATCTTAACTTCCTTTCAAATCCATAAAATGAGACTGTATTCGTATTCTCTTTATGATATTACATTTTATTCTCTTATCTATCTTGAAAGTCCTTATTTTTCGGCTCCTGATTCAAATAGATAATTTATCTAAATCCATACCGCATATGCTTTTAAAAAAGCACAAATAGCCTCACCTTTGAACATCCAAAATCAAATATTGAGCCAGAAACATAATGTCTGCGTGTTTTTGTTTAGACTTGTTTTTATTTATTTTTATTTTATTTCGTGGTATGTGTGCTTTGTATCAATCTGTTTCATGTTTATTACATGGAACATGTTTTACGCTTGAGAATAATACAATCCATGTTAACCAAATAAAAGTTTAAAATTTTATAAAAATTAAATACACTTCAACTAAACAACTAATTACATTTGTTACAATTAATCTAGGTTTCCCTTGTAGGCAATAGGAAAACCATGTTCAAAATAGCTATTAAAATGAGAGCATCACCAACAAAGGTGATGCCGAAAATACTGAAGTTTGAAAAGTAATAAAAAATGAAAAATGAAAAATAAAGTGTACAAGAAGAACCCATTGATTTAGGCAATGCATTACTAGCAGGAACTATTTGTTAGTTTATCAAAAGAATATAAAGAAGTAAGAACAGTCAACACAGTATTATGTACATAAAAATGTAAAATAAAATAGTAAAATAAATTTAACAAAGTTCATTGGGGGACTGGACGGATGATATTTGAACACCAACTCCCCTAGGCTGTGCCAATCATTCATATGAACACTTTTTGATCTCCACACTATTTATTTTGATTTGTATTTTGGCACATGTATTTTAATTTGCCTCTATGAGATTAATTATCGTTGGAACTTGAGCTACCAACCTCTTAGCATCCTTCATGCCAGAAATATAGTGTTTATTATATATATATATATATATATATATATATAATTTGTATTGTATGTATGTGAATAGTAATTAAAAAAATAAAAAATAAAAAAATAAAAAACTTGGAGGAAATGAATTACTATCCCATTCAACAGAAATTTAATGTTTCGTCCAGTTATATTTCTATCTATATAACTTGATACTTTTCTAGCCATCTGTGATTTATCCCATCTACAAAAAAGAATTGAAACAAAAATCTGGTTGTTTAATTTACTTTATTTTGTGTTATATACAGCTTATGTTATTTTTCCACAATGAATTACAGTATTTTTGCATTCCGACAACATCACTTTCCTCACACATCAATCAATCAATCACAGTCCCACCTCAAACAAAATTCCATTTTTTGCATGAGACATCAACAAGAGAGAGTTCCATTCATTCATTCAATTCTTGCATTTTTTGTAAACTGGGTTTTCTGGACCATCCATCATTTCTTCTGCCTGGAACTCAAAGATGATATTTGGACTACTATTTTACTGTTGAAAAGCTCATTTTCATCATATATTTTTCCTGTCAACCACCTGGCCACAGTTCTCAGTTCAGACTTTATCGCCGCATCGGCCTCATGTCAGGTTGCAGAAGCTTCGTTAGAAGATGCAAATCAATTTCGCCCTGGATGTGAATGTAGTGGAGAAGATCATGCTTTTCGGATCTATTAAGAGAGTGTTTTCACAGAGATTTGCTCTAGCTTGAATGAGAGTTCTGTCTTTTGCTCCCGATGGTGTCTCTCTGGGTCTCCGCTTTGGTTCTCTGCACACACTAACTCTGCATTCGATCTTCCTGCCAGTAGTCGATTCGCATTTTAGTCTGTGTAGCACAAATTCCCTTTCGCATTCGGTTTGGTCCGGCTCGGCTCGGTTGAATGTGTGCTGGAAACATTTCGGAGCTGTTCTCGTCTCATTCTTGCGGTTTGCGCACTTTTTTGTGGCCAAATAGTTGTGCCTGTTCCTTAACTGGGTCATCGGATGGAAGTCCTACTAATTTGTGTCTCCTGGTGAGTTTCAAGAATTTCAAGTTTTCGTTCGGAAGTGTAGAGGTGTTCCCTGCTCTGTCAATTTGCGGGGCTTTTGCAATTTGCGATCTCTAAGATCGTCTGAGTTGTGCACTTCCAAGAGAAGAACCGCGGTGGTCTAAGTACACGGCAGGTGCTCTGTCTGAAAGCTGCCTTAGAGTGTGTGTCCGAAGTGCGAATGGTCACTCGTTTGATGAACCGTGCACCATTCGTTTGTCCCAAAGGTATGGCTTCTTTACTTTGTGTGCAACTTTGATGGCATAGTAGCCGGTGCCCGTTGTTGAGGACTGGCTGTGATGTGAGGCGTTATTTGTGATAGCCAACGTCTTCAGAGACACCGGTACTCGAAGTAGCAGTGACTTTTTGTGGTATCAGCTGTATAATAGTTGAGTGTACTTCAATTGAGCCAAAAAAAAGAGGTTATAATAATGGAACCAATTGGGCTCTGGGTTTTGCATTTCTACATCATCTTTGTCGGTGTACAGCATACGGTATGAATGTGGATGCATGTGTCTTGGTTGTCCTCATTCTAGAGGAAGAAAATGACAAGTTCCTCGAGAATTTTGGTGTTAGATTCGGATCGGGGAAGGATGTGGTTCCATGTTGTTCAATCTTGTTCTTGTTTTTTTGTTCTTAGAAAAGTCTGATTCTTTTGAATAGAAACACGCCAGAAATTGCAGTAATCCTTCCACATGTCCCAATTTGCAGGAATAGGATTTAAATTTCAGCGTTCATCTGGTCGTTTCGTCAGTCACCACGGTTCGAGGACCTCTTCAATGAGATCACGACCAACACTATCATCATGTCACGTATGACATGCCTGACCTGTTTGAGTAATCTTGTGATATATAGCCAAGCTTATTGTACACATACAGTTTGAATACTTATTTTTGACGCACGCTTTATCTGAAATAGGAGCCTTTGGAATTGATGTCTCCCTTTCAAGGACGCATTAATATGTGTTCATTGAAGGGACCATTAACAATAGCCCTATGGAAATAAAGTTTTGGATGTTCATTTGCAACCATTACTGTTTTATTTTGCAGTATCTTACAAATTTAGATTGATTCTTCAATGCTTCACTCTTCAACATGAAATTTATTGGCCATTTGTTTTTCTCAAAATGACGGATCTTCTAGGTTTTACGCAAGATACTTCTCCCTCCTCTCTTCGGAATCAAATTGAGTTAAATTTTGCTGATGAGCTTCTCATCTTTCCTCGGCTCGAAGAAGATGATGTGGCTCCTCATAACCATGGTCAGCACATGCAGCAACCCGGAATTGGTGTTAATGTGATTCCGGGGCTTCAGGTAGAGGTCAGCACTGCGAATGAGGATGCTGTCAATGAGCATCTGTTGCAAAGCGATCAACTGGAAACCGATGGTAACTGCTTGACTTGAACCCTCTATTATCTACTTACTTAGTATTAGGCCTGGTATTGATTACCTGAAAAAAAGCAGCAGGAGAGAAAGCAAAGTGCTTCTAGTCCGAATGACTGGCATGGAGTTCAAATCCCAACTCTCCTTGCAAGTTTTTAAAATTTTATACGTAGGGTGTTAATTTAGATGTGTCGTTGAAGGAACAGGCTCACGGCCTCAGTCTACAAGTTCAGAGCCTCCATTGCTAAGTGCTCTTGTGCCAGGAATTCCATAGAACGTATCTTTCGTATTCTTGAGGTTTCTGCTCAGAATTCTGTTCATGGTAGATTGTCGAAACTTTTTTTTTTTTTTTTTTTTTTTTTTTTTTGAACAATCGATTCTTGTTTAATGTCTAGAACACGTTGTGTCATCGCATGGACACGATTTTCACTCAGCATGGATCGGATCAAATTATTAACCGTATTCTATCCGTTAATCACGCAGCTGTGCGTTTTCTCTTGGGGGTCCGAATCCGCAACAATGTGATCACTGCACAACACTTTTACCGGGTTCTAAAGAAGTTGCGGGATGCGCTGTTCCCCGCGAAAAGGATCAAGCACATTCTCAAAGAGGATTTCCCAGCCCAAGAATACGAGAGAGTCCTTTTGCGGTTGGTGAGGATATGTACCACCCCAAGTAAAGAGAGTTACGAGGCTCGTGGTTGTGCTCACCCTATAGAGTACGAAAGTGTATACGAGGCATTTCGGCAAAGCCCAGCGGAACTCCGACATCCTCTTAGCTATGTTGAGCATATAGACAACATGCTGGGGAGCCTGAGCGCAGGTTTTCAGATGATGCAGCAAATTGGGGCTGCAGAAGTCGTGTATATCGCCACCAAGGATGGAGAAGAATTTGTCGAAGGGCTGCGCTACTTGGCAGCCCTTCTAAAGCAACCCCCTGGTTAGTCTACCATCTTGTAGCATGTGAGGGCATGGCTTGTGCTGCTCCATCACATGTCACATTGTGGTAGTTCTGACTACCGGAAGCATGCAGAAGCTCACAGCTTGTGGGTTGTAAGTGTCTTACTGTTGGGGTGTGTGTAGGGTTATCGTTTCATCAGCGTTAAGAAAACCCGTGTGTGTTATAATCTAGAATCCTACCAATCAGAGTATTAAGTATTAAGTACCAATATATTCTAATAAGGTACGTCATCAGACATATTTACATATTTTAGTGTCAACAAGATAAAGAAAAAAAAGAAAAAGAAAAAGAAGAACAGAACAAATGAAGCTTGCTGGAATCATGGTTTAAAAGTGGACTTACACTACAGTTGAAAACATCAAAAAAAACAAAACAAAACAAAAGATGAAACAAAAAATAAAGTAATATATTACATTATAGATTTAACAATATTTTGCCTTACCAGTTATCCCTTTTTAACTATTCTTTTTTCTTTTTATTGATTTTACCTACCTCCTTTCTTTTTTGCACTTCCACGTAGTTAAATGCCATAGTATATCATTGTAAATTTCTGTAGAAAAATCTGCCTCGATTTGTCTACGGTCCCTCAAGTACCCATCAATCTCATTACACAAACAATGAATATGATCAGGTCTGTTAATTAGAATAAGTAGTTCATTCAGTGTAGATTCCATTGTTGGATTTGATTGACTGAAAGGTATGTTATGTGCAACAGCAAAGTGTTATTGAAAGACATTTTCAAACACCTGAGAGAAAAGAAAAAGAAAAAAGAAAAAAGAAAAAAAATCATACGAACAGATGAGGTGTGCAACAATGTCTCAAAACATGAAAATTTATTGAAAATTTGAAGACGTTCAAGATATGAGGAATAAAATATATTCCATTCATCTTCATTCAGTGCATGTGGTTCTGAAGTGTGACATATTCTGTACCATGTTTTACTGCAAGTAACAAATTTGCATCATGCAGAGCTTCTTCAAGCCTACAGCAAATATATTGATAACCAATCAAGCCAAAAAGACAAGTTGGAGTCGCAACACCAAATAGTTTGTTTTCTTAGTGTTCTTCTCTTCACCATTGCTACTTTCTTATTCAAATCACATGTTTGGTCTTTGTAATTTGTAACAAGGAGAGGCTTTTCCTTCATAGCTCTTAATTCCATCCTATTTCTCTTACAGCTCTACTACTTTCTACACACACAAATACGTTATAAAATGAAGTAATTTGTTCAAATTTGGAAATGGCAATACCAATTATCTCCACATGTTTCATTTATTTATTTATTTTATTTTGTTGTATCCCTTGAAAACCATATCAATGGCATTGTGTGATTCTGCAGCCATTGTGGTGGAAGTAAAATGCCATGGAATCTGCATTAATGATGCTGTAACACATGAAAAATATGAATATGTGAATTTGAAGAGTTAGCTTTGGTGGGTGTGAGCAATTTGATATAATGAGCAGTATGGTCTGTCCACAAGAAGTTTTGATTTGCTCACTACTTTGTATGATTGAAGACTTTGGTTGTTGGTAAAATAGTGTGATAAGTATTGAAAGTGGAAAAACAGTTGTATGAAATCTCTGGTGGAAGATCCATGAGATGGGAACTAGTGTGTGAGGAGCTATTAGTGGAGTCTAAGATAAATACATTTTTTTTTTTTTTTGATGTTTTGCTCATAATGTTGTAGGGGAACATTAATGTATCAATACGATAAAATTTATATTATTTTAGAATCGATAATAAAATAAACCAATAAATTATGAAACAATGTATATATGTATAAGTGTATGTATGTATATATGTTTTGAAGGAGTCTTGTGAAAAGTATAAAAAAATTACATAATAATCTAATAAATCTACAAATATATATATATATATATATATATATATATATATCAGTTATTTGATACTCCTTAAGTAATATTTCTTTCTTACTTGATAATATTTGTTGAAATAGAGGTCTTTCATAGGTTTTAAACTTAAATTTCTTAACTATTATTCCTTGCTTAATTTAATAAACTTTCATCCTCTAAGGTTATGAATTAAACAGGGTACATTTGTGTTTTGAAAAAATCATCATGAAAATAATAATAATTAATATCAAATGTAAAAAGACTACATAATAGTATGGCTGTTTGTAGAGTATTTTATATTAGTAACTTATGAATATTTATAGGATAGAGCATTTTATATTAGTAACTTATGAATATTTATAGGATAGAGCATTTTTTTCATTTAAATATTTATACATTAAATTTATGAAAAAAAATAAAAAGATTCAATAAAAAGACATGTGTTTATTTTGTCACTTCCATGCAAATGATGACCATGGAATAATTAAAAAACCTATAGTAGATAGAAGGGTAGTGAGAAAATTTTAAATGCAATAACTCAAAGAAATTTATGCAAATTTTTTTGAATAAATTTTATTATATTAAAAGTATGACTTAGAAATAAAAAAAATAAAAAATAAAAAAATAAAATTGAAGAATTGTTTTATTAGAAGATATGGAACAATAGGTGACTTATATTTTTTAAATTTTAGAATACTAAGAATCACTTCTTTTTCTTTTTTTAAATTTATTTTATTTAAGTTTAAGCTAAAAAATTAACTCAAAAAGTATAAAAATATAAAAAATAGAATAAAACAACTACCTTAATTTTTCTAACATATATGTTTATCAAAGAGATAATAGCCAAAAAGACATGTATGAAGCATTGTAAATAATAAAATTATATTGGTTATCAGATTTGTTTTTGTATGTTTATGATTGAGGTTTAGTAGTAGAATCCACAAAGATTGGATTTATTTATTTATTTTTATTCATTTATTTATTATCTCTTCCATGTAATAAACCATTTTTTTTGCAATAATAGAAATTTTCAAATAAATTTTTTAATTACGTAAATATATCTAATTTTTTTCATCTCCAAATAAAGACACAACAATAATTTTATTTGTTAAGGATGCAGTTCTTTTGTTATCTTCTGTAGTGTACCAAAGTTATGACTCAGCAAGTCAATACACTCAACTATATGATTTTTGTAACAACCATTGTCGTCTTTTTATTTTTATTTTTTATATTTGTAATAAATGAAATTTTGACTATATAAATAGACAGTTTGCAAACAGTCCTTTATGTTATTACAGCCTTCATTAGAATAATAAACATTTATGATTCGTTAATTGTAAATAAGATGTTTATTTGGTAGAAGAAAATGATTCTTTTGGCCACCTGATTGTTACATACAAACAATAACCAAGTTCTTCTTTGCTGTTAATTTTTAATTTTTTGACAGATAAAAGCTGATAGAATATGTCTAAAAAAAATCATTGTATTGTATGCATGTACAAAACTTCTGTACATATTTAGGGACATAATTCAAATAAGGGCCAAGATTGAAAGGAACCTCTATCCCTAAAATAATTTGAGTTGTATAGGAGTAATATCTTTTAAGAAGCACACTATCATTTGAAGATCCATGTGTTCTAATCATCTGTGTTGACATTTGTACTACATACCACATGATTATTTGAAGACCTGTGTAATACATATACAAAACATGATATGAATGTGTACCTAGTCCGACTGGATCAGCAAATGGATTTGTAAAAAATGTTCATCAATTCTGACGTTTGTAGAACATACCAAATCCATGTGCAAAAAAGTTGATGTATCCAAGCTGTAGTAAAAAATTAAAGATTGATTCGGCTCGCAAAGGTGAAGCTAGAAATGAAAATGCTTAACATACTAAATCATTTCATACAATCAATTAGATGAAACTAGGTGGTAAACAAGCTTCATAATTCTCAATGCATACAAGCAGTCGATTTGCACATTGATTCACACACTACATACCATCGAAATATGAACTAAATTACACCATGGCCGTTTGGCAACTGTCACTATTGATCTTATCATTTCAATAAATTTCTATACAAAAACAAAGTGGTATCAAAAACTTCACAAGTTTCACCAGCGCAAGTGATCAGGTAGACCAAACAAAGAGATGGTCGAGGCATGTGTCAAACAAAATCCAAAAGTTCATATTGTGTGTCTTGCTTCACTATGATATATGAATAGAACTGAAAAAAATGCCTCTCTGCTGAATAACTTGACAAAAGTTCAAGTAACCGCTAAGGACTGAGAGTTAACGAGAGAACATCGTTCAAATTGTAATGTACAGCTTGTGGGTTAGCTACTGGTTGAAAGACGACCTCCATATCTGGTCGCACTTCAAGATGAAGAGGAAACCCTGAATCTCGCCTATTTCTGGACCTGGTGGGGTTGGCGTCTTGGTGATCACGAACAGTCACATTAATGGAGACTTTAGGTGAACGACCAACCAAAAATCCTGCCACGAGTCGCCACAACGATCAATTCTATGATTTATTGTCCTTTCTAGAGTAACGATGCTTCTACAAAGACACTCTGTGAACTGAGGAGATGCTGCTAATATCCCTTGAGAAATCCTTTCAGTAAGTTCGTAGAACTAGTGAAGCACGCTAACTGAATATCTTAAGGATTGGTAGAGCAATTTAAGTTCATTTTACTTCTCAAAACACGAAAGAAAAAACTGAACCAATATTCTCCTTGGTCTCGCAAAAAATAAAGGAAACTTACCAAGCGTGTGACCGACCCAACCTCGTCTATGTGTCATTGTCAACTGCTTCACAGTTTGCCGCTTAGCAAACTCCAAAGCACGCCTTTCCTCTTCTTGACCTTGGAACGTGTGAAAATCCCCGACCACAACTTTACCTCCATAAAGTTCCAACCTGCGAAAAGAAAAATTGAAAGAATGCCATTAATCAGAAAGCAGAAAAACTCAATGCTGCGCACAGAAAGGTAAGATGGTTGCAACTCGAAGAAACGGAGTGTGCACTTGTTCAAGAGTTTGATCATCTGCCATTGTCTGACGCATCATGTTCGAATATTTACCTGTCCCAAGTAGGTGCTGTATTAAGGACATATAGTAGCTGTTTCTCAGTGGCTTCTGCGAGGAGGGGAGCTGACTGCTGGCTACTGAAAAGACTACTCATCCATCCAGACGGAGTCCCTACCCGATCATGCTCTATGAAGTGTTGCCATTGGTCAGCTGACAAAACTTCTGGTTGCATCGAAATGGCCAGATCTGGTCTAAATGTACAACGAAGAGGTTAATGTTCATCACCTTGCTTCTCAACGAAGAATAGTGAAAATACATAGAGGGTGAAATAAGCTCAGTGAAAAGCTGGTGTTGCTGACAGTAACAAATTCCAAAAATAATACAACAAACCATCTCATATTTAAAACAATGCGCAAACAAACGCACGCAAGTTTTCTGAAAGATAAGGGCGTAAGTTATCAGCTACAGCAATGAGTTGACTGAGATGTTTCCTTTTCATTGACGTGTACGTATCTAATGCATTGTAATGACCCAGACACAACAATTATGTTGCTTAACAAAAAAAGAAAAACCTTCCTGCAGTGACCCAAAAATTCAAATCTTCACCTGCGAGAGCTTCAGTTTTGCCACTAGTTCTGTGATTAGCTGAATAGCTAACAGAAAAAGTCCCTAACATTATCACTTGTAGCTTGTGTGAATCAACAAATACGTTCTACCAACTATGCGTGCTATTGGAGGGTACTGAAAGAATCAGCTTACTTGCAATCAAAATTGACTAGAAATACTTTGGGCTGTACAAAGCCGAGAGGCAAGTTCACTCCTTTTCTTTTAAGGTAGCTCGTCAACAACTGAGCGCGGTATCTTGTGCCATCCACCTGTCAAGGATCACAAGATGACAGGTTCACTGGCGGTACCTAAAATACTACACACAGGTGACAAGTGAACTACAAGAACACTAGAATTTTGAAAATATGCCACTAAAAACCACACACCCGCATTGAGTGGTTAAGAATCTGAATCAAAACTTCCAAAATTTTCTACTCATCAAGTTCAAGCAGCACAAAGGTACAAAATCCTGGAAGATCGTCACTAAATGCTTTTTGAGGCAACTTACTACATTAGAGTGCCTTTGAGATGTACCATTTCGACGAATCTGCAACCAGCTACCATCAGGCAGCAACTCGACCTTACCTGACCAGTTCTTCACCTCCACAACAAATAATTCTCTACAACAGTACGGTGGGTTGCATTTAGTTCTCATAGTCTAAAATTATGGATTAAAGATAATAAATAAATAAATCAGCACCAATATTATGTCTCAATCCAAAAGAGAAGGAAAACACTTTGTGTACAAGTTATTACATTAAAAAAAAAAAAAAAAAAAAAAAAAAATCTTCAGCATATTAGTTCAAGATTTGAGTGAAATAATTTACATACTTCTTCGTTACAAGAACCAGGTCTATCTCCCGTTTTCCTCGGCCCTGGTTTGTATCATGAATTCGCAATGACGTGAATACATGAACGCCTTGTATCCCTTCAAACCTGAAACGCACACAACGTCGAATGCTTCTAAGAAAAGAGCGAACTGTTGCACGTCAAAAGGAAAATTTCTTTCAAGCGATTAATTTAAGGCAGTTGCATTTGACGGAGTACGAGACAACCCTTCGGGTTACTCCGAACGTATTACAGACACAAATTACGCCTACGATGCAAACGATCTTTAACCTCTATTCACGTCAACATATAAAGTGGCTTGATTTGTTAACATTTCGCAACCTCTGCTTCGGACATGAAATCCTCACCCTGCCAAGTTGACAGAAAATTGCACAAAATTCAAAGAGTCTCGAGAAATCGCTATCAACGTGGTCAGATTGTTTTCGCTTTTGTCAGTCAGTGTAAGAAAGGATCACCAATTGTAAGATTTGTGAAAAATACCATACAAACATCTGAAGCGAAAAAACAATACACCGACAAATGCACAAACCTATTGAGTAGACGGAGATAGCGTTGAATTCCCTTCGAGCAACAACACACCCACAAACTAAAACCCACGAGGAGTAGGACTAGCGTACAAAGAATTATTCACAGAGTCTATTTCAAAAAATGAGTAGCGAGAAAAAGGCAACTCACAAAGAGGAAACGCGCAGCTCGGCGGCTCGCCCCGCGCGGTCGCTCTCCAATTCGAGCTCTTGACCAGGCGTAAGCGTGAGCACTAGAAGCTTGAGCCGCCGGTAAAAGTCCGCAAGTGCCTCTACAGCACCCATGATGAGCAACTTCAATAGCCAGAAAAACCAGATTGTGAAATTCCAAATTGCTTTGGCCTTCATATAGCCGGGGGAATAAGCTTGGGACTGAGGCTTCATGTGCATCGAGACGTGCCTCCACGAATGAAGCTTCTCTGTAGAGGAAGTCTTCTCAAAAATCCAATCGCAAATCTACCAGACTTCAAAGATCCTGCACGCTCTCTTGGTGTACCATATGACAAAATGAAGTTGAGCACGGCAGTTTGTACGTTGTTACAGACAAATCCCCATTGCGTCTTTCTTACGATGAGTCGACTGGACACTCGACTTCGGAGTACGAGAACGCCTATATACCGTTAACGTAGTATTGCCATGGTATGGCAATGAACAACAGATCAAACACAACAATCATACGGTTGATGCCATCCATGTTGTTGTAGGGATGGTACTGCTTGAGAGCTAAGAGGTGCCCGAGTATCTCATCATAGTCTCTAAGAGGTGACTTTTAGGATCTCGAGCCTGAGGATGTAAGAAAAGTCAAGGAACTAAAAGAAGAGGAGAACTGGAATGAGAGCCCACAAGAAGAGAGCCCCATCGCCAACTGCCATGTTGCAAAAGCTGAAGTCAGTCACAAAAATGGGGTTGTAAAAGCTGCTTCTAGGCTTGACATGTGGGAACACACCGAAACTTCATAGACAAACCTAGAATCACAATGATCGTGGTTGTACCAATATTTCTGAAGTTTTCCAGCTTATAACAGTAGTTGCACCGACAGAATTTGCTTATAAAAGGGCACAGCAAAGGACTTGTGTGTTTAAGGCCTGAGAAAGTACAGTGGATCTTCACCATGACAGAATTCTACCCGCAATGAAATGCATTCCAACTGAGAAAATTCTTGAGCGTTATTATCAGGGTCCTGCGTACAGACCCTACGAGGCTGGTTGTCCAGACAGGCTGAACGTGTAAGGAATACCTGCACATGTCAGAGAGAAAGATGAGCATAATGAGTTCTGTAAGATCAGATACGAATATGAAAGAAGCACACCTAAACGCTCACATAGTAAGCCTACGTGATGCCCTCCCACGAACTAAATCGCTGATGCCGCAAACTCAAACTACATTTAGTGTATCCCATGTTGGACATCAACAGCATTACAGCAATCTTGTTGGTAGCATGACATGCATGATGAATTCTCTTTAAAGGTTCGAATTCTTGAATCACGCAGAGAAGTCTCTGACAACTAGAATTGCCCAGGACTATGAGTACTATTTGCATTCTGCAGTTTTGAAATCCTAAGATTCGTGGGAATTACAAGGATATTAGTGAACCGGCTCCTTAATATTTGAATAGACAGAGAACTCATCTCTCTAGCCATACTCATCTAATTATTTATGTGACAAAAAATCGTCTGTCTTCACATACTTCTCGGACAAGCAGACTGCGACGAACAGTTCACATCTTGCAAGTAATGCATAAAGTTCCAGATAATCCAGCTCCAGATATATGCTTAGATGCGAGATTCGTGGCCTTCTTTTCCAGACTGCAAAATTTCTCGTCTGTCTATACTTAGAACTAAAAATTATGACGCCTTGAAAATTTGAGAGAAATCTAATGAATGATGAGTCATTCCTCGCCCTCATTAAGACACAGTTTCTCCACCCCGCGCCATGCGTATACTAAATGCGAGCAATCACTGAGCCCTGACCACATCAAACAGCAGCAATTTACACCTGAATCTTATCATATAACTCAGGACCAAATAGCATGAAATATAAAAAACACGTTATTTTAAACAATGTCCTGATTATGTTGGATTATTTTGCGCAAATTAGAACTCAACGTAAGCCCTGGCCAGCTCACCAAGAAACGAAATACTTCATCAATGTGATGAAGTAATCGGAATTGGAAAATTATGAATATCAAAAAAATTATCTGAGTGTGAAAGTTTCAGGAACCTTAGATAAGGTCTCTTTGAGCAAAGTTAGAACGTAGATTGGTTGTTACTAACCGAGAACGGGTGCAAAAACGACCATGATTGATAAAGCAATGAGGTTTATGTGCTGCACTCGTTCCGAAGCTCGTCGCTTCAGCAGTCATGGTCGCAAAACAGACATATACAAGAAAAAGAACAACCTAAAAGATACAATTTCCAGCTTTCCATGCTAGTTAACAAATCCTAGGCTACAACAATGCAGACAAATCGGTTGGAATTCGTCCCCGACCTAATCACCATCCACACAACGCACATAGATAACGCCCCCACTTTCTTTCTAGCTACAAAACACTATTGAGACCTAAGCAGGCGTAACTGGTTTCCCAATAACCAACTCAGAAAATAATTTATATATACAATTTTTTTAAAACATAAAAAGACAGAAAAAAAACAGGAAAAAAACAAATAAAAAAATCCTAAGATTGTGTTGACAGGTACCTATACTGATCAACGAGCAGCCACATATGGCACCACGAACGTCAAGCTAGTGACATCAACAACGATCACTGTGCAATGTGATAGGATGCTCACCTGAGCTGAGGACAATAAACAGATAAATACATAACAGAACTATCGAATGCTGAGAGGCAACGCTGGCTTGGGAAAAAGACAGAAAATGTTGAATGCCAATCGTAGATCTGTTTGTTACATTGAGGGAGAGAAGGAGGGAATATTAGGGCTGCTGTGCCCAGGCAAGAGCTTCACAATCCCCCCATCCCTCTCTCACTCCATGCATCGAAACGGGCCCTCGGCCAACAGCAAAACAAGAACAAAACTTAAAAAAACACAAAACAAAATAGTTTCTACACCGGCGGTCGGTATGAGGCAAGACGCTGCTTTGTTGGGTAAGTGCCGGGTATCATAAAGACGAGCAACTCTGTTATGAAGATGGTGGATGTTCACTATCAAAAAATAAAATAGAAATAAAAATAAATTATTTTGTTTTATGGTGACAAAGCAACTGGTGGGCTTGTACAGATTGATTTGTTTTTGTAGATAAACGTCGTCGTTCCTGTGATGTTCAAGTGATGTCCAAACAGAGAGTTTTGAAAGTCCTTTTGGTTTCCTTCTGACCACATTTTCACACTTTGAGAGCAATAGGTGGAGGTAGAATTGTGTTATTTTGCATGCATTTGTAGAGAGTTCACTGAGAGATATGAGCAACATGATACAGTTCATTTAGCGAGTGACTGTGGCTTAGCAGTGGAGGAAGTTTGGGAATTTATTCTTAACAAAGAATGCAATTGTATTGCTCCCTTTATTCCATTGTATAACAAATGTGTTCTCGTACAAACACAAATAAATTAATAAGTAAATAAATAATATTTACCTCAGCTCATCATCCTAGGTCTTTGTTTCTTTGATGGTATATCAAATATGCTTTTTATGATGAAAAAGAAAACTATCTTTCATCCAATTCATCATCCTTATGTCTTTGAAGTAACATGGGAATTAGAAAATAACCTTGGCTACAAGATATTTAATTTGCTCAAATTTTTGAATAGCATGAATATTTATGAAGAATGCCTATTAGCATGACATCATATCTTTGAGCATGTTTATTGAATAATATATCTTGTGTGTAGAAGAAAGAGACAAAGATGAGGGGTTGGTGAAAATTTTGTTAATTATTTAAATAAATAAATAAAACCTATTGTAAAGACAAAAAGAAACCATAATTTGATTACAAATTGATATGTTTTTTTAATAAAGAGGAGAACAATAGTTCCATCTATAAAATTACTAACAAAGTGAGAATCATATACTGTGGTTTGTATTCAATATAGTTGTTATTTATATAAATTTATTAATATGTTATACATGAGTTGTGTCAAAAGATGCTATCTACATATTTCTATAAATCAACTCACAATTATTTTTTACAATTTAAATCCTAGAAATAATGTTTTATAATATAATTACAATTATAACTATATACACATGTGTGTATGTGTGTGTATGTATGTATTGTTTCCATTCCATCCAAAATAGTTGTATGTGTATATATGTATTGTATACACACATACACATATGTATACATACATATATACATACATACATACATACATACAGATTTGATTTGATTGAATTTGTATATATTTTTCTTTTACTTATTTGTATATAAAAATTTTAAACTTAAAAATAAGATTAAGTATTTACATATAATTTACTTGTATACTCTTTTGTACTATGAAATTTAATTTATGAAGAGATTATATATCCCTTTTAATAGCAAAAAATAGGTAAATAAATAAACTAAAAGATTAATTTTAAAATTTATCCAAAAAAAATAAAATTTAAGTGCAATAATAAGTTTAAAACACTACTATATTTGAGTCCGAAATAATAAATGCAGATGAAGATTACAATATATAATCAATTATTTAAATATTATTTTTGATAATAACCAAAAATAAGATAATTATGTAAAATGTGTCCAACTATGAATATCTCATTCAAGTTTGATTATCTCAAATAGTAGAATTTATCTAGATTTCTGTGAGCAGAATGATTTTGGATATCCAACTCATTCTAAATTAATATTTAAAATCTTTGTATGTAATGGACAATTGTAAACATTTTACAAACCTCTAAATATCAACTCATGGGTAGCCCCATTTCAAATCGTAGATCTCTATAAGTTTGTTATATGCTTAATAGGTTAGGCACAAAATGAAGGGATTGATAGTGGTGTTTTCAATAAAGCCATGCAATAGGAAAACATACATTGTTTAATGAGATTTTTGAAACGTCCTTTAAAATTAGTTCCCAAGTTTTTTTTTTTTAAAAAGAAAACAATCTTTGAGTTGCACCCAATTACTATTCTATGGGTTGGATCAAGTTGTATGAGATGAAAGCAACCGCCTTAAAGTTGTGGTCAATTAGGGTTGACCCACACTATCTTCATTGGCAAGATAAAGACAAAGGCAAAGCAGCATTTGTGTGAATTGCCCCCATTGCAGGATGTGGCCTTCTGGACCACAATGATACTATGATGCTATGGGAGTTGGTTATGGGTCTCTGGTTTGGTCATAGGCCCCCATTTGTTTTAGTACTGAAGGGTATTCCTTTCCATCCAACGTTGTTGCATCCACCAAACATTATTTAATGATATGTGTGTGTGTAGATATATATGTATATATATATATATATATATATATATAGTATTAGATTTAATCAAGTAAAAAAATAACATCTATATTAATTAATTTGGGTTCAATTTGTTGACCTTCTTTCACAGTTTAAAGCTGTTTGCTGATTTTCTATTTTTAGTGGTACATATTACTATGTGTACATAAGATGTTGAAATCAAGACCAATTTATGTTTTCGATAAATTTACATGAGAAATGAAAACCAATTGAAGAATAACAGTTATTTTAATTTTTGATGTATGCAATATATATATATACACATATACATAATCTTTTTGAAGGTTTATTTATGATTTTTGATAAAAATATTAGAATAAATTTTAATATTTTCAATATCATATTAGAAATTCTATGTTTAACATAGGATTGTTTTTATATTCAATTTTTTTTTCTATTGATGCAAATAATTTTTTCCAAGGTAATTGCTATTAAAAAAATAGCATTTGAATACCAAAATAATTATTTTTATATCAAAAAACTTAAGAAATAAAATAGATAATTTACTATATTACATTACATTCAATTTTTTTAAGTAATTTTATAAAAAATATATTATGTCTATGTAATGTATTATAATTATATTTTATTGGCTTATCTGAAGATTTATATATAATCATTAAATACAAGATATTTTTACTTAATTATATCATATGTAACTTTCTTTCTAATATTAGTTATTGCAATAAGTCCAACCTTAGATATATAATAAAAATTGTTATTTTTTTAATATTTATAATTTCTTTAATAGATCTTAAATCCTAAATCATTATACTACTACTTCTATTTTATATTCTACTATATATTAATAAATCATACAATCATAATTATTGTAAGATATTTTTTTTAATTAAAAATATCTTTATCGAACGACAATATTATTTCTTATATGTACTATTTTTATTAGTAATTTTTATAAACTAATAAAAAAGCACTTGTTTAAGAAACAAATCCTAAAATTTTACAAAAGTGTGTTAGAATTTATTTCTTATATTGTTTATATTTCTCTTGTTAGTTGTCTAAAATAGATAGTCTTTTCATAAAAGAGTTATTGAACAATTGAAAAATATATTACTTCTACTTTATATGATAAAAGAATGATGTCTTCATTTTTTCTTGTATAAAAAATAAAAATATTTTTTATTAGCCTAATAATTTTTTTTATGTATATATATAAATTAAGATGTTTGATAAAAAAATTATAAATATTAAAACCAATAGCAGTAATAGTTCATAGTAATATAATGCCATTCCTTGCTTTTTTCTATACAGCAACACAAATTTTATTTTTTTAATATTGAAAAAATAGAATTTCTATCTCAATTATTATTTTATATATATATAATCAAAACTTATCAGATATTTTTATGAAGCTCTTAAGTTTGTTTTAATTTTTCAGAAATTCTTGAAAAAAAACCTGAAATAAATTTCCTAAAATTATCAAAAAATTAATTTCTCAAAAAACCATCCTTTTATAAATAACAGTAAATATTATTAATAATAATTTTTTTGCAAGACTCAAACCAAGTTTCAATTTTCTACCATAAATTTTATAACTACAATTGTAACATTGATTTTTCTTAACAGATTTACAAACAAAAAAACAAAAGATATAAAGTAAAGAATAGTAACTTTAGTAAAAGAAGCACCAACTTTTTAAATTTTTTTTACAAAAGATCATATAAAAAAAGAAAAATTAAGCACATAAAAAGAAAAAAATAAACATTCTCATCACTGAAATTTGCATATTTATTAAAGAAAGAATATCATATAAATCCCTCAAATATGCTAAAATATCAAGAATATCCATGTATTCTTGATAATAGCAAATGTACCCTCAAATGTGATAAGGTATCACTAATCTTTCTTTTTTAGTCACCATCTAGGGCCCAAACCATGTGCATTTTGCCAAGAAAATTTCAACCTTGTTCTATTTTTGGCTTTTAAATAATTGAAAAAAATTCATCTCTTTTTCTTATGTCGATTTGCAAAGCACAAAGATAATATGACTTGGAGACTTTAGACTTATCAATGTATACATCTAATTTAACTACATCTTTGACATGCCTTCAATAATAGATTGATATTGAAAAAAAGTGCTGATCAAATCATTCATATAATACAAAACTCTGACATCTCATTGTATCAATATAATCTAGAATTATATATTGGAATGTCATCCAAAGGAAAGTATATATATATATATATATATATAAAGATGAAGAGAATAGTTCCATAGATGCTAAGATTATAAGTTGATAAATTGGTATGAGATTAGATATGATGCCATTGACTTGTAATTTCTAGATCCAACCTTTTGCAACTTATCAGTTTCATAATTTGTAGATAGAGACAACTAGCACAAATACTAGACAAGTTCACACAAGTTGAGGTTCTCTATCATGAGCTTGTATTCTAAAAGTGTGTTTAGTATGTACAAAACTATAAATTATACAAGGCACAAACATTGCATTGAAATCCACATTGGATCAAAGCCCACATCTCTCATCCATAGTTGCACTTAGACTATATGAGAGGAGAAGCCTTACATGTCAAAGTTGCCAAGATTTTGCAACAAATGCATGATCCATCAATTTTTCTTTCTATGACTTGCTTCTATGTAGAGGATGTCATCTAAATTGGCTACAACTTGTAAAATGTTTTGCATCACACACTTTACCCTGCAATAATAAGCTCCAACAATAAGTTATTCTTCCATTATGGTACAATTTTATTTGTCTTAAGACAATACTTGATGTCATATGTACAAAAAGGTTTGTTTATATATTTGTTTATGTATAAATGTAGATGACCTTGCAATGTCTGACCATAACATATCGTTGAACATCATCCTATGTATCAGATGGTCATACAAGATGGTTAGTAATGAAGGAATCACTTTGAACCTAATACACCATTCATGATTTTAGTTCAAGAAGGCAAGCTAGATTTTGCTAATTCCTTCAAGATTTGTGTAGCCTTGATTGTGGATACATGCATAGCTTTGTAACGCAATAGAATTTGGTCATGTATTTCAGCAGGATGTTGCTATATGCACTCCATTGCCATGTCACCTTGAACTATCATAACATCCACAAGATTGTCAAAAAGCCAAAAACTAAGCAACATTGAAATTTGTGCTGCAAAACATATGCTATTTGGGCCCCTGACAACAACTTAAAAAAAGATTGGTGATACTTTATCATATTCAAAGATACATTGGATTGTGTCACAAAAGTGGGGAATAGATTTTCTATTATTAAGGACACAAGAGTATTCTTGATATTTCAACATATTTTAGGGATATATATACATATATATATATATATATGATATTTTCTCTTTATTCAACTTCACAATCTAGAGCTTTAATATTTGTACACAAATGAAGGTCTTCAAAAAAACCACTTCAAAATTATTTATACATGCAAAGTCACAAGTTCCTGCTAGTAGTCCACAACCATGTGACACTTTAGAGGTACATCATACATACAAAAAAAAAATGTATCACATTATATAATAGATAACATGGAGGTGTGAAGTTGGACCCAAGTTAGACACAAACAACACTGTGGGCGCTGAAGAAGAGGAATCAAGAAAGAAAGACAAAAAAAAAAATGATGGGAAAATGACAAAAAAGGAGGCTACTGTCAAGAAACGTGCTACAGTCAGACGAGGAGCCCAACAAATGACAGCTTCGTGGGCAGCTTCTTCCAAAATCCGTACTTTTGGGGGGAGTCTAGTCGAGTCGAGAATTGGGTCGGAGCTGTAGCCAGAATACAACCAAAGGAGCATAATATGTATATATTACGCATGGACATATGCTCTGCATGCAGCACAACAGCAACACATTTCTCCTCCTCTTCATCCTCTTCTTCCTCCTCGGGGTTCTCGTGTTGTGACCCTCGCTGTCGTCGTCCCAGACTCATCCTCCCCTTTTGGTTTGTTTCCAGCAGTGCCTTTTTCCTTCACACAACTGTTCACTGCACGCCGCTACGCGCTTCGTCAATATGGCTGTCAAGGTTTATATTGTGTAAGTCTTTGGGTTGCGTTGTGTGTGTGTGTGTGTGTTTTTTTTTTTTTTTTTTTTTTTTTTCTGGTTTCGGCACTGTGATCAGGCATGGGATGGATAAGGCAACGCGCTGGGGTTGCGTTGTGGTTTTGGTCGTGGCATTGGAGATTAGCCATGCTAGGCCATGGGGTTATGGGATGCGATGAGTGAGGTGGCGGTGCATGTGCGTGGAGGGTGTGTAGGTAGTTGTTTTGGTGATGGATGCTGTGGTATTGGTGACTGAGGTAGCGTAGCTTGTCGATGTAATTGTCTTCTTGAGTTCGGGTGGTTTCATGTGTGCGATTTCTGGTGCCTAAAGAGGAGTTGAATTGATGGTTTGCATTGTTGCAACATGTTTTGGTGGTGCATGATGCGTTTGGCGGTTCCTTTGCAGTCTCTGATGTTGGGGGTTTGGAATTGTCGCTGCAGATACTATTCCATGTATGGGCACATAGAAACTCTGGCCAAGGAAATAAAGAAGGGTGCTGAGAGCGTAGAGGGTGTCGAAGCGAGTTTGTACCAGGTAAAGCACTCCTGGTGGTTGCTCTTGCTCCTATTTTCGGTGGTATCGACTCAGTGCTCACTTTACAGTAGGGCATTGTCGGGTCTGTTTTTTCATAGGAGATCTGATTCATCACAAGTGTTTATGTGAAAGGTTGGTTCTATGCATCCCCGTCTATTATGATGCTGGAGTCGTCGGTCTGATTTGATGCCGGTTTAGCATTAGTATTGAGGATTTCGTCATTACAGGTGCCTGAGACTTTGCCGGAGGAGGTTTTGGGGAAGATGGGCGCGCCACAGAAGTCCGAGGTGCCTCACATCAGCCCTGCAGATTTACCCAATGCCGATGGGTTCCTCTTCGGGTTTCCCACCCGATACGGCATGATGGCGGCCCAATTCAAAGCATTCTTGGATGCCACCGGTGGGTTGTGGAGGACACAATCGCTTGCTGGAAAGCCCGCGGGGATCTTTATCAGCACAGGTTCTCAAGGAGGTGGCCAGGAAACCACTGCGTAAGTGTGATTATGGCGACCAGCCCTCTCATGCAAGCACATGTTGATGTAGTTGTGATTATGTGATCATGCTCTCTTCATAAGTTAGTTGGATTCCGACTGATCTCTGCAGGCGGTGGGAATTTCAGATTGACAGCCATAACGCAGTTAACACATCACGGGATGATCTTCGTACCGATTGGTTATACATTCGGAGCTGGTATGTTTGAGATCAATGAGGTAAAGGGCGGCTCGCCATACGGAGCTGGTACACTTGCGGGCGATGGAACTAGGCAACCCACAAAGCTGGAGCTGGAACAAGCTTTCTACCAGGGGAAGTACACCGCCGAGATCACGAAGAAGTTGAAGCAGTGAAACCATAGGTTGTGCTTGGCCTTGGAGGCGTGACTGGGATAGATCTGGGATTGAGATATATTGGATTAGAGATAAGAATGCTTGGAGGTGGATGGAGATGCATCACCGGCGGCGACAGTTGTGTCGGATGTGTTGCCCTTGTTGGATCCCAGTTGTAAATACAAAAGTCTCTTGTGTTGTGTTACCTGAACGGATCCTCGTAGATAACCTAAAATCAAATCAAAGCAAATAATTTGAACCTTACGTTCCCATGTGTAGAAAAACGTCGTCAACGTCGAATGTTCAAGTCATCACGCACTAGTGCTGGGGAATGTGGAGAGTTTTGAACCTGGTTGTGGTGTATGATGTGGTTTGATAACTGACTAAACTCTCCTGAATTGAAAAAAAAAAGAAGAAAAACGAGGAGACGTTAACAATCAGACTTTTTCTTCACAATACTTTGTTGCATAATCAACTAGTAACTTGCTCTGTACCAACCAAGAACACGACTGATTCTTGAAGCTGAACCACTTGTGTGACTGTTCAACAGAAAAAAACATGCTTTTTTGAAAATCCCCACATATTGGTGATCGGAACCGAAACATGCTGGAGATGCTGAAAGTGGCGTTCATGTGCGTGAAACCTGCTTCATATCATTTTCAACAGGCCGACTGCCGCACAATGCACGTCACTTTGGTTCGGCTTATTCCACAGGCTGACTTCAACACAATGCACACGTAACTTCAGAAAGGCATTGTTAAAGACGAAATGCTTTCCTAACAGTACTCTTCAAGGCGACAAAACTGTTGACGAAGCTGCAACAGAAGAACAGCCTTGATTTACTGCTTCCGTTTCCTAAGAGATTCCGACATTGGACGTCATCAACTGAGCATTGCGTCACAGAAATGCTACTCATCCAGTATGTGCGAGTACGTGGGTCTCTGAACAACGACCACTGGGTGATTGGAGTTGATATTGATAAGTTTGGAATAAGCCGAACAGTTTGCAATGCATTGTAATAATCTCATGCAACTTGCAGATACTCTGTTAATCTGAAGGATCACAGAAACATGAACAGTAATGCCTCGGAGTTGACCTCAATTAAAATAAGCAGCGGTGTAGCAGGAAACATGTGATATTGCACCTTTTTTTCCCACAGATATTCCATGGCCTCTAAGTCTCAGTCAAAATCACACGAGAAAAGACGAAGTGCCAGTTTGTGACTCAGAAACACAGATTGTCGTCTCCTTGCAGTGTCAAATCTCAAGAGAAAAGCTTATGAGGAAAGCTGTTTTTTTTGTGATGTGAAGACATGACCCATTAGCTATGCAAGGTTGTTGAAACATAGGCACTTTAATCGGCAACTTGAGGAGTGGTGAGAATTCACAAGGTATGGCTGATTGACCAAGTTCATTTGTCACTCCCTCATCCTGTACGCAAATCTCATAACAAAGTTGATATTAAGCACATCTTAATTTTGTGCATTTTTTAAATTAAATTATTATTTTTTATTTCTTTTCTTTTCTTCCTGTTGAAAATTTCAAACTTTGTTCATGTGTATATATTCTTTTTGCATTGATTTTTTTTGTATATTTTAATAGTTAAAAAGATATATCAGAAAGATTTCAAAACATATCATTTTAAAAAAAATAAAATAAACTCCTTTATTCTATATATATATATATATATATATATTTATATATTTCTACATTGTAGAAGTTGTAAATCAATAAACTACTACCTTGATTTTAATAAAGATGATGTTGAATAGCTATGCCATTGTGCAAATGTAAGAATAATCAATAACATTCTTTGATGTTCTATAAGATAAATTTGTATTTACAATTTCACACCAAATTAATCCTAAGATTTAAAAAATACATATGATTCTAAGGAAAATTTTATTTTAATGTATATATATTGAGTTTTTATTCATGTAATACATTCTCTTACTTAAAAAAAAAATATAATTTTTATAGTTTTTATAATTTGTTTTAGGAATTATTTTATCTATATGATTTCTTTTCATTAGCTGAATTTGATTACAATTTTATTATTTATAGATATATTTTAACAATCATCATCTTAATCTAACTATGGTCAATATTCTACCTTAAATATAATTTAATATTTAAATATAAATATTAAATAAGAAAATATTTTTTAAAGTATTTTTTAGAATTACAAAAATAATTTAATATTTATTTGAAAAAACATAAAAGCATCATAAAATTTCAAGTAATGTACTTGGATAAGAAAAAATATTATATTATATTCAAAATAAAATATAGTTTTATATGTATCAACAAAGAAGTTATTTTTTAAAAAATAATTTATGATTTTAAAGATAGGAATTATTTATTATGTGAAATCAAAGAGAAAATCAAATCAAATCAAGAGCCACTCCTTGGCTCCCATTACAAGTGCTATCTAGGCTTTTGATGGAAGTATGGTCGATTAGATTGATTGAGGGCTCTACAACGGTCGTTGCCTTTGTTTAAATTTTGCTACTGATTTCAGTAGTCTGATTTTCTAATTTGTGGATGGAGTGACATAAGAGGCATTTTTCGCATTGTCAACTTTGTGCAATGGTGGAGCAGCAAAGGTATCATTGTATGTTGTGGTTCAATGGTGAAAGGGTGGTGAGTTAATAGAGAGCAACATTTTAGATTGATGGTATTAGTTGTTCATATTGACATTAGAGCATGGAGCTATTTGAGCATTGAATGGAGCTGATTTTGTGACTGAGATTTCTTCAAACTTTAGATCAATAAACTATTCCATTGGTGGGATTATTGTTAAGACAATATGGTGGAATTTAACTCTTTATATTTATCGATAAGATTAGGTATTAAGTAGTTGAATTTGAATTACTGTTTTAAACTTTGAGGTTCTTTGTAAAGGAATGTTGGAGTTGTTGATCAAAATAGCAATTAGAGTGATACTAGTGCAACAATCTACCTTCAAGTTCTAGGGTGAGGCCATATGGGATTGATATAGTTCATGAAGATTTTTTGCAAGAATAAATTATAGGAGGTTGCCAAAGCTAAAGAGGTTAGAACAAAGAGAAGCTTGTTCAACTCAAAAAATGGAGAGTTTGGAGATTCTTTTTCTTGCGGCTTGGCATTTGAAGTGAATGTATGTGTAAATAGAATTTGAAAGATAGAAGGAAAAATTCACGCTGCATATTACTAGAGATAAGTATTACTCTTCTATCAATAGTAGCAGCTTTGGTTCAATTCTGCTACAATTAAAAAAGAACACAATTATAGAGTTTATTCCATACTGAATCCAACTACAGAGCTTATAGTAGTGGAGTTGTGAATAAAAAAGATGATTTTTTTCTTCTATCGGTAATAATTAAGTAACGTGGATGGATTTGAATTTCAATTTATACCAAGGCAACTCAATTGTTAAATTCTTTTGACCTGATATTGTGTTGAAAAGTAGCATAATATATAAAAATAATATAAAATATTATAAAAATTTGAATTATAATTAAAAATAAAAAATAAAAAATAATTTAATTAATTTAATTTTATAATTAAAAATAAAAATTATAGGATTTATTAATATGAAGTTTAGCTGGACTTTAGAGTCAAAAGTATAATATTTAGATTCTTAGATCATCCGATGTGGGAGATAAGATGAGTGATGAGGACTTCATTTTTATTGGTTGAAAATTATTTTCAATGGACTTCAAGATGTTATTTGGAACCATACTAGAATTTAAGACCACTTTAGGGCAATACATTCAAAGCAAGGTAGATCATTCGAGGAAAGACAATCCATTCAAATTTTGGAGGTTGGATTTAAAAAGTTTATATTTTGGATTAGAATTTGGATAGAAGAAATATATAATTTGGAATTGTAATGATAGAGATATAGTTGTTGGAAGTTAGGATGTAAATTTGGTACCTATTATTATTTTTTTAGGTATATAGAGAATTATAAGAAAGAATTTAGGAATCAAAAAGTGAGATAAAAATTTTTACTTAAAGAAATATATTTTACATAAAGTAATAGAAATATTTCAATCTAAAATAAAAAATAGAACTGTTGAAAGTTAGGATTCAAAATTGGGATTTTTATATAAATTATTTTTAATGGAGATTTTGGTTTAGGCCATATCTTAAATTTTTTAAAAAAATTTGGCTTTGAATTTCTATAAATATAAATATTAATGTTAAAAAGTTTTATACAAAAAATGCATGATATTTAAATATTGGATTTATGAGATATGATGGAATTAGTATGCTAGTGCTTAAAAATTGATATGTTTAGCACGTGCTAGAGGTTAAGCAATATTCAAAGACTTGTAATGAATTTATGGTTGAATTTTTATATAGACGTATTGAAAGATATAAGTTAAGTTGTAGAAAATTTTGAAACTAATTGAAAAATTAGATTAGCAGTTATTGAGTGATATATATATATATATATATATATATATATATATCTATATATGGAATAGATCTCCATAAAAATAGAAGTGATTTTAGGATATCTAATCACATCTTGGATACTCTTGTACATCTTAGACTTGTGTATTTGATATAATTGTCTTCTTGAAGACAAGCTATAAATCATATTTGTGTTATATAATTTTGTAACTTGTTTGAGTGATTATGTTGGGGACATAATCCTTAGAACCTTCTAGAGACAAGTTTCTAGAACCTTCTAGAAGCAAGTCTCTGGAACCTTCTAGAAGCTTCTTAGTTGGTAGAAGATATTAGGGACATAGTCCTTAGAACCTTCTAGAGATAAGTTTCTAAAACTTTCTAGAAGCAAGTCTCTGGAACCTTCTAGAAGCTTCCTAGTTGGTAGAAGTTGCTTGAGAAGCTTCCTAAATAGAAGTTTATATTGGAATCGAGGCTGAAGAGTTCTTCAGTCTCGACAACACATCTCTTGGAGCTCTAGCTCATCTCTCTGGTGTTGTTCTCATCTGATTAATCTAGTTCTTGCCAGTTCTTCTTGAACTTCTTGTTAGATCTCAAGTCTGTATTTTTGTGTCCGTGACAGTTTGTCGAGACTGCACTCACGTCAGATATTAGAGCTAGTTTCTTCTTTGTTAGAGTGTGGATTACCCCTCTGCTTGGAAGTGTACTAGCATTTTAGAGGTTGCGGATTACCCTCCTCTAAACTGATACTTCTTTTGTTACAATATTGGAGTCTTATTCTTCTTGGAGAGAGTGGATTACCCCTTTTCTTGAAGCTCTTAAGGCATTTTAGAGGTTGCGGAGTACCCTCCTCTAAACTAATAT